TATATATATATATTTAGTTCCTATAAAATTAAAAGAAGTTTTGAAATTAATTTTGGTAAAATTTATTTTTTATTTTTAAAATAAAAAATTATTTTGATATTTATAAAATATTTTTACTTGATCTCATCTTTTGAAAATCTGTAATCATTGATTTTGGTTCTCAAATATTTATTTTAAGATATATAAATATCATCTAGTTTGAACTTTGAAATCTTTATTTTTTTTAAATGTAAATATTAGGAACGCTAATAAGTGTAATGTAAAGTCACTCAAATATTTTATTCATCATATAATTATGTTCAATTTTAAAAGATTAAAAAATTATAGAGAATAAAATTAAAATACAGTCATCTTAATTACATGAATAAAAACATATTTAAATATAAATATTATAATAAAACTTAAATGCCTAATATTGGTTATTATTCGCAAGGTCAATAATTTTGCCCCTTTGTTTAATTTTTTGATGATGATGAGACATTGACACTACTTATTTATTAATCTTGCAAGTTAAACAAGAGCATCTCACATAGAGGAATTAACAAGTTGGAACATGTTTTTTATTTTTTTTTTTTTTTAAGTTTTTATGAAATGGTAGATTCTTCATGGAATCTAAAGAACATGATTTCCCTTTAAACCACTAACTTTGTCTTTATTTGGACACATGTCAGTATAGAATAATATATTTATTATAAGATCCTTTTCTTTAGCCCCTGTTGTCTGTGTCCATAACAAAAATAAAATAAGTCGGAAGAGTTTGGCATATTTTTTAAAAGTTACCAATGAAATAGTTTATCTATTAAAAATAAACATCGTTATATATATGTTTTATGAATTGCTTTTATTTTATTTTCTTAATTAATACATAAATACACTAGGTTTTTTTTGTAAGACTTAAATGCACTAGTTAATATTATTTGTAAGTGATAAAATACAAGAAAGAGTGCTAAATTGTGCCGTGTTAAATTGTGCCTTAAATAGTCATTTTGCAAACCAGGACATAATTTTAGTAAAATAGGATATGGTTGAAAAATATAAGAATCAGGTTGCTTATCTTATATGAAAAGCTTAAAAAACTTCATTTTAGTTAGTTAATAAACATGAAGCGATGAAAGAGATAAAGTAGAAGATCATCCCATGAAATTTTTATGTTAGTTTGTCTTAAATAAGATTAAGTTTAATTAGTCCTTTTTATTCCATTAAGATTTTCTCTATCACAATAATTTTATATGTATTTTCCTAATTAAAAAGGTTTTTTCAAGTTCAATAACGAGTACTTTAACTTAATTGTGTCTCTAACCAACTTCACTGTTTATTCTTTGACTTGGTCTCTTATGTTTTATTATTTGACTTGGTCAAAGAATATTATGAATATA